ATTCAGCAATTATTTTAAAGAAAAAAAAATCATCAGATTATCAAGGAATGTCCTAGTAGACCTACAAGAAATCTGCAACAACGTATATCCCATCAATTGGCTTTTCTAGTATTGGTTGTTCTATGGATATAGCATATCTGACACAAAATGTTCATGCTCCTGTCAATCTGTGACCCTTGAAATGATTCAACAAAAGATCACTTCTGGATTCTCTGTTTTAGGACTGTCAAGTAAATCCTTCTTTGCATCATCTCCTCAGTACTTCAATTCTACAACTTCCAATCATATGACAGAAAATGTTCATTTCCTTACCAACGTAAACAAATGGAAACTTCAAAGATTCATATTGTTGACGGTAGCCAATTACCCATCACAACCATCGATGATATCTCTTCCCCTCTAAATGATGTCTTTGTCTCTTCTGTCTTTATCACTAATCTTGTTTCTGTCGATTACTTAATTAAAAATAATTGTAAAATAATTTTTTCTAAATCTGGTTGTGTTGTACAAGATTAATAGGCAGGAAAGATGAACGCGAAGGGGCCCTAAAGTAGGACATCTTTTCCCTCTCCAACTCCCTTCATCTTCATCTTCATCTTTCTCCTTGTCATTTGTCACTCAATTCTACTTTTGTTGATTAACAAGGATGCATACATGTCTCGGATATCCAAGCTCTGATACTTCACTATTTGTTAAAATCCGGTTTACTTGGGAATAAAGAGTCATTTTCTTTAACTATTATTAGATTTGATTGCAAATTCTTGTAGACTGGGAAAAAGCAGAAGTTAGCCATTTCCCACTCATGCATCAAACATAGTCCATTGATCAGATATATAATGATGTGGAGGTCACAATCTCAGTTACTTTTCATGCTATCTATAATACTTCATCACTTCTATTGACGACTATAATCGTTTCACATGCAGCTAGTACTTGCAATCTAAAGACAAAATGTTTTATATTTTTAAAATTTTTCACGCATATGTTTAGACCCAATTTTCTACTAAAATTAAAATCTTTCTCTTTGACAATCAAGGTGAGAACATATCCATTTTATTTCAGGAATTTTAGCAAACTAATTATATAATCTCTTAAAGGTCTTGTCCTTCAACACCCCATACAAAATAATGTAGCCAAAAAAAGAAGTCTGACTTTCTCGACATTGTTCGCACCCTTTTTATTAGAGCCATTAGTGGCCTCTCAGTTCAAGCATAAAGCTCTCTCCACTATACCCCACCTCGTTAAACGATGGCCCTCTCCCTCATTAAACCATGTCCCTTCTCTCACATCTGGAAACACTCTAAATTATTCTAATCTTTGTACCTTTGGTTTTGTACTCTATGTTCATCTTCCTACCATGAAGACACAAAGTTCACGA